TTTTTTTGAGACGGAGTTTCACTCTTGTTACCCAGGCTGGAGTGCAATGGCGCGATCTCGGCTCACCGCAACCTCCGCCTCCCGGGTTCAGGCAATTCTCCTGCCTCAGCCTCCTGAGTAGCTGGGATTACAGGCATGCGCCACCATGCCCAGCTAATTTTTTGTATCTTTAGTAGAGATGGGGTTTCACCATGTTGACCAGGATGGTCTCGATCTCTTGACCTCATGATCCACCTGCCTCGGCCTCCCAAAGTGCTGGGATTACAGGCTTGAGCCACCGCGCCCGGCCTAGCACAGTCTTTAGGGTTTTCTAGGTATAGAATAATACCATCTGTGAGTAGAGATAATTTGATTTCCCTTCTTCCTATTTGGATGGCTTTTATTTCTTTCTCTTGCTGATTGCTGTGGCTAGAACATCTAGTACTATGTAATAGGAGTGGTGAGAGTGGGCATCCTTGTCTTGTTCCAGTTCTCAAGGGGAATGCTCCCGGCTCTTACCTATTCAGTATGATATTGGTTTTGGGTTCGTAATAGATGGCTTTTATTATTTTGAGGTATGTTTCTTTAGTGCTTAATCTGTTGAGGGCTTTTATCATGAAGGGATGTTGGATTTTATTGAAAGCTTTTTCTGCATCTCTTCAGATTATATGATTTTTAATTCTGTTTATGTGGTGAATGACATTTACTGATTTACATATGTTTCATCAGTCTTCCATTCTAGGAATTCAGCCTACTTGATCATGGTGAATTAACTTTTTAAAGTGGTGCTGCATACGGTTTGCTAGTATTTTGTTAAGAATTTCTGCATCCATGTTCACTAGGAATATTGGCCTTAAGTTTTCTTTTTTGGTTATGTCTCTGCCTGGCATCAGGCTGATGCCGGCTTTATAGAATTAGTGAGGGAGGAGCTCTCCTCCTTGATTTTTTGGTAACAGTTTCAGTTGGATTGGTACCAGTTCTTCATACGTCTGGTAGAATTTGGCTCTGTATCCATCCAGTCCAGGGCTTTTTTTTGGTTGGTAGGTGATATGGTTTGGATGTTTGTCCCCTCCAAATCTCCTGTTGAAATGTCTTTCCCAGTCTTAGAGGTGGAGCCTGGTGGGAGGTGACTGGATCATGGGGCGGATCCCTCCTGAAGGTTTAGCACCATCCCCTTGGTGATAAGTGAGCCAGTTAATGCCCACCCTCTCTCTCTTTTTTTTTTTTTTTTTAAATAAATTACCCAATCTTAGGTATTTCTTTATACCAATGTGAAAACGGACTGACACAGTAGGTTTTTTAAATTATTGATTTAATTTCAGAACTTGATATTGGTCTATTCAGGGTTTCAATCTCCTCTTGGTTCAATCTCAGGTGATTCTGTGTTTCTAGGAGTTTATCCATTTCCTTTAGAGTTTCTAATTCATGTGCATAGAGTTGTTTGTAGTAGTCTCTGGGGATCTTCTGTATTTCTGTGGGATCAATCGTAATGTCATCTTTGTCTTTTCTAATCGTACTTATTTGGATCTTTTTTCTCTTTGTTAATCTAGCTAACTGTTTACCAATCTTATTGTTTCAGAAAACCAATTCTTGGTTTCATTGATCTTTTGTATGGATTTTTGTGTCTTAATTATATTCAATTTTTCTGAACAAGAGTTTTTTTGCAGACATATTTTTTATTCTTTTGAGTAATAGAGTAGAATTGTGTGTCATAGATAGATGTGTATTTGCTGTTTTTAAGGAAGTGTCAGTGTTCCAAAATGGTTTCACTATTTTGCACTTCTACCTGCAGTACGTGAGAGTTTTGTTTGCTGCTCTTCCATGATAATGTCAATGTATAAAATGAAAAAGACTAACAACACCCAGCACTGGAAAGGAAGAAAAGCTGAAACAACTGGTTATGGATATGGGTAAAAATGAATTTTTTAACCCCATCATCTATTTAAAATTCATTTTCCTTCCATATCAGTATCCAATTGTTGATCACCATTTTAAAAACTATCTAGCATTATTTCTTAAAAATAATGCTTTCTTCTATCAGTTGAATTGTTTTGGCTCTTTTGCCAAAAATCAGACATGTGTGAGTCCACTTCTGGATTATCTATTCTAGTCCAATGATATATTTGATTAGCTTTATGCCAATGTTATGCTGTGTTAATTATTGTAGTTGTATAAGTCTTAAAATAAGGTATGTAAGTTCTTCAAATTTGTTCCTGAATTTGTATTTTATTATACATATCTAAGATGTGCCTCATGACGTTTTGATATACATAGTAAAATGGTTATTATAGTCAAGAAAATAACAAATCTATAATTTCACGAGATATGCAATATTTTCTTACATGAAAAATAAGTGAGATCATGCAGTGTTTTTCTGTATGTGTGTTATTTCACTTAGCACCGTGTCCTCCAGGTTCACCCACACCCATGTTATGACAAATAGCAGGATCATCTTCTTTTTATATATATATATTTTTAGTAGAGATGGGGTTTCACCATGTTGGCCAGGATGGTATTGATCTCCTGACCTTGTGATCTGCCTGCCTCGGCCTCCCAAAGTGGTGGGATTACAGGCATGAGCCACCATGCTCAGCCAGGATCTTTTTCAAGCCTGTTCCATTTTACATATGTACCACAATTTCTCTATCTATTCTTCTCTTGATGCACATTTAGGTCGTTTCCTATGTCTTTGCTATTGTGAATAATGCTGCAGTGAACATGAGAGTGCAGGCACCTTTACAGAGTGGGGATTTCATTTCTTTTAGGTATATATCAAAAAGAGGGATTGCTGGGTTATATGGTAGTTCTATTTTTAATTTATTTAGGAACCTCTGTACTGTTTCCCATAATAGCTGCACCAATGTACATTCTACCATCAGTGGATAAAGATTCCCTTTTTTCCACACTCTTGGCAACACTTATCACTTATTTTTTTGGTAATAGCCATCCTAACAGGTATAAGGTGACATCTTATGCTGGTTTTCATTTGCATTTCCCTGATGATTAGTGATGTTGAGCACCTTTTAATATATCTGTTGACCATTTTTATGTTTTCTTTGGAGAAATGTGTATTTGGATTATTTGCTCATTTTTAAATTGGGTGATTTTTCTGCTATTGAGTTGTGTGAATTCTTTATGTATTTTGGATATTAACCCTTTATTAGGTATATAGTTTATATGGTATAAGGGTCCAATTTAACTTTTTTTGCATGTAGATATTCAGTTTTCCCCGCATTATCTATCGAGGAGACTTCCATAAATAAATAATTCTTTTCCTATTTTGTCTTTTTGGTGTCCGTGTCAAAAATTAGTTGAACATGTATGTTTGTTCTATCTGTTGCGTTGGTCTATATGTCAGTTTTTATGCTGATACCATACTGTTTTGATTATTAGCGTTATAATATAATTTGAAATCAGGAGGTGTGATGCTTCCAACTTGGTTTTCGTTTTTCAAAATTGCTTTGGTTATTCAGGGTCTTCTGTGGTTCCATATGAATTTTATAATTTTTAAAAAATTTCTGTAAATAATGCCATTGGAATTTTGACAGGAATTGCATTGCATCGGATTATTGCTTTTTGTAGTATGGGCATTTTACTAATATTCTTCCAATCAATGAACACATGATATCTTCCCACTTATTTGTGTATTCTTCAGTTCCTTTTATCAGTTTTAGAATTTTTAGTGTACAGCTCTTTTACCTCCTTGGTTAAATTTATTCCTTTTGATGCTATCATACATGTATTTTTTTCTTGATTTCTTTTTTTTTGATAGATTATTACTGGTATACAGAAATGCAGCTAATTTTTGTGTGTTAATTTTGTGTCCCACAATTTTATGGAATTTATTACTTCCAACATTTGTTTTGTGGAATCTTTGGGGTTGCCTACATAAAGTATCATGACATCGGCAAATGGGGTTAATTTTACTTATTTCTTTCCAATGTGTTATATCTTTCATTTATTTTTATTGTATGGTTACTCTTGCTAGTACTTCCACTACTATGTTGAGTGGAAGTGGTAAGAGTATATTAATACTGATTTTTAGAGTGAAACCTTTCAGTTTTTCCTTCTTGACTATGATGGTAGCTGTGGGCTTTTCAGAAATGGCCTTTACTATGTTGAGAAAATTTCCTTCTTTACCTAAATTATTGAGAGGTTTTATCAAGAAAGGAGGTCATACTTTGTCAAGCACTTTTTCTGCATCAATTGACATTATTATGTGGGTTTTTTTTGTGTGTGGATTTTTTAGTCTTTCATTTTGTTAATGCAGTGCATCATATTGGTTGATTTATATACTTCAAAGCAACCTGGCATGTCAGGGATAAATCCTGTTTGATCATGATATATAATATTTTTGACATGTCAAATTTGCTTTGCTAGT